GTTCATGTCAGCGATTAGATTTTAAGTCATGTTTATTCAGCTTACCATTATTTCTATTTAGAATCGATTTTGTGATGGAGTTATTTTAATTCCTGGTTTGTTTTCTCTTTTAGTCTTGGAGTTCTCTTTTATTGCACTCGTATTCTTAGTAAGTTATCCTGTCACTCTAAGTGTTTCTGATTTTAGAGGTATGTTTCCTCCGCTCCAGAATGATAGGCCAGCCTTCCTTCTTCCCTCCCTCTTTTTGGCTCAGATCATGTTTTTTTTTTTCCCCGAAAAATACATTTACAGTTGTCCAGACACTTTTTTCCTTCATCTTACGGGGGCTTACAGTGATGGGCAGCTCTGTCCAGATCTACTGCTTTTTCTGGTATAATATTCAGGAATTCCCTCTGATTCCTTTTCTTTCTTCATTTTCAGCCTGTTTCCCTTTGAGTCTCAGTTTGAGAACATGGGTATTTTGTTGCATTTACTTATTCATAGCTTCAGATTATGATTAGGATGGAAGAGGATAACTTAGTTGGAGCTCTGAGCAACTTTTGTTAGAGAACATGATATCTGTTCTTTTAACATTTTATTAATGTCCTACTCCAGGGTTTGCCTATTGGAGGGTATTTTTGTCTGTTTGTTTTTGTTTTGTTTTTAATGGGAGCTTTGAAGTCCACGATTCTATCAGGAAGAATAAGCTCCAGTTTTTCACTTCCCTGGTTTAATTCATCTCTTTTCTACAGCCATCTATACCCCATGCAGTTACCCTCATTCCCCAACCAGCACAACAGGGAAAAGGGAATGATTATTCTTCAGTCTGGTTCTCTCTAAAACGGGTATTAGAGAATATTCCCCAACATTATTTCAGCTTAGCAGTTCTCTCTCTGAGGGATGGAGACAGAATGGGAGGTCTCACCAAATGATGTCAGAACCTTCTCTTTCTTTCCTTGACTACCACCTTCTGAAATGTATGGCCAAGACAATATTGTATTTCGCTTTCCTTATTTGGTTGCTACCAGTGAGTGTTCTCATATTTTGTTTTTAACATTTTTTTCCTTTTTACAATTTTCAGCTTCCCCTGATGTCTTTACCCAGGAGTTCCAGTGCCAGGTGTGTTCAGTGTGAGCCAGAGGTTGCCTTGGACTGTGGTTATTCCCTGAGCGCTAAAACCAGTCCAGCAGTAGTTGAGTGCCAGGCCATCAGAGTGGTGTAGGGAAGATTCCTAACTAAGATTAATGCTATATTAAGTAGCCTCTAAATCACTCCAAACTCTTCAGCTTTCATATTTACATTTGCTAGGGCTTCAACCCATTTTACTAAGGCTTATAGAATATAGATTTCATCATTTGGCTACATTTGAGGTTATTTAACACTATAATTTCTGCTTTTTAATGTGTTAGGTGCATTCTGGCACTTCTGTAATTTGTTCCTGGTTTTAGAATTTCTGACATTGAGGGAAATTACTGGAATGTGTTGGTCTGTGTGTTGTGTTCTGAGCAGTAATGACTTACTCCATCCCCTTTGTCTTTTTCTTTATGTGAGTATTAAAAGGTGTTCAGGCCATATTTGCTAGCACTAATTTTGCTGTAAAACAGTTACCAGGACTTAAAATTATATTTTCCAAGCCCCCAAGAGACTTGGATATCTTGCAGTTCCTCCTTGTCTTTCTCAGGGCCTGGAATGTGCTCCCACCCTCGGCACTGCGTGAAGCCCCTGTTGGAGTGAGAACCGCAGCGTCGTCGGGCTGTGCAGTGTGGGAGAGGGCTGTGTTTGCAGGGCTTCCAGAACTCCTCCTGGACTGCATCTTCAGAGGGCGTGATGGGAAGCATAGTAACAGATGGAGCAACACCCCTGGCCACCTTCTATTTTAACCTATAAAAATGGGGGTTGCATATGAGTCAACCTAGTAGTTTCTAGACAATAAAGCCATTTTCTTACCCAAACTCCAACCACCAAGCCATCAAACTCAGTATCTAAAGGGACTTCCAGATGCTACCAGATGCTTGCGAGTGAGGGATAATCACGTTCCTTCTCCCTGGAAGACGTGCCAATCTGCTTTAGTACCTGCAGAGTGGGCACTACAAGTATAGTTACCTGGCCCAAGAGCACAAAGCTTTTGAATTAGAGAACTTGAAGGGTTTCCTCCTACATTACAGAGATATCTTTAGCCAGCCTTAATTTAGCAGCTTCCGTGGTGGTCGGGCATCCTTTTCCCCCTGTAGCATATATGATAAGTTCTGGACCACCTTGACTTAGAGACCACATTGACCACTCAATGTTTATCCTTGCAGATGCTGTCTACTTTTACTTCCTCTATGTTTTCCATGATTTACCACCTCCTGGTCATCACTAACTCCATTATAAATGATTGCAGGTCAACCAAAAGTGTCTAGTAGTCCAAGGTTAGAAGGATATGCTACTTCCTGTTTACCTTTGAGATGTACTCATAAGTAAAGGACCAAACTGGAAAATCTAAGAATTTGTTTAACATTTATTTATATAAAAGGGGCTAGGAACAAGTAAAACCTTGAATTTAAACATAGATCCACCTTCATGATGGCCTTTGTGGTTATGGATCCATCATTAAGATGTTTCCAGAACATTTGGGTTTTTCTCGTGGACTCTACCATTTATCAGGAGGAGACACACCTGCCAGAAGATACTGACAGTGAAGACACCTAGGGAAAGACCAGAAAGGGCTCAGACATCTAGAAGTTGGCTAAGCAGTATTGGGTCAAGTGGACAAGCCTGAGCTGTTTCACTTTAAAAGGCTCAAGCAACTTTGAGATTCCTTCATTAATTAGCATCACTGAGCAACAGGCTCTGACAAAATAACAAACAAATAATAACATTTATGTTTAGGCTTGAAATTCCATTATCTATTTCACTTGCTCCTGATTTTTTAGAATGAATAAACTCAGATTTGAATATGGGCAAAGTCATTGATCAGTCTATCAGAAAGAACCCTTTAAATGACTCAGAGAAAGTTATTCTGAAAGTGTATCATTCCCGGAGCCTAGAGCGAGGTGGCACATGACTAACGACTAAACAGTGCTTTCTGGTCATGAGTCTTTTCTTGGGGGAGAAAATCTGTAATTCTGCCTTAATTATAAATCAGTTGGTTACTTTTCCTTAGAGTAAAGTAAAATATTTTGCTTTCTATCCATTTTAAATCACACCCATTCTCTCAGTTTTTCTGAGGCGTTTTGCAATTTCAGTGGAACTTTCCACCTGTTATTTCCTTTCAGTGTGTTAACATACTTACGTTATTTTCAGTAAAATTCATAATTTTGTTATAATGACGCTTGATGGTATAATGCTGAATAAAAATAATATTTCAAGAAGTAAAAATATTCTAACTCAATAATGCATATGCTTGGCTGCCTGAAAAAAATGTAGTAATATCAATAAATTTTTAAATTCTCTTTTGTTGGGATTAACATTGTAGTTGTATGAACCACTGAATAAAACATGTACATCTGTTTTAAATAATCAAAGAAAAGTTTCTTTACTACTTGATACAGTATTGAAGGAGAAAAATTTTTGTTATATTTTTGTATGTATTGCCAATAATAGAATAATATGGAAGAAGGATTTCTATATTTTAAATAAACATAAATTCACTAGAATGCATCTTTATTCTCAGATGCAAAATAAAATTTTCATATTATTTTATACATTATTTTGTTCTGATAAGCATATATATTCAAGAGTTAGTATACTTTTCTTCTAAATAGTAGAATAAATTTATGAGTGGTCAGAAATGTATGGTTGATTTCTCAGTTCTCTTAAGAAATGTCACAAATCACAATCAGGAAAAAATTGGAAACCTTTGTTTAAATTAAAAGCAAATTTAATTTGTGTTTTGATTCTCAATTTTCAAGTAGAGGATGAGAATTTTAAATCTCAAAACAAAATAACTTCTGCAGTTGAGTTCAGTATGCATGCCTGGAGAAATGAATGCTATAGCTTTAAGATAAGGTAGTCTGGTGATTCATTGCACGAAACAAGATCGATGTGGAGCAGGCTCCTACTGTTAGCTTTTTTGAACATGGATTCTCACGCTGAAAATAACACAACATATTCTAGATAACGGCAGTTTTTTCCACTGAAATCCACCAAAACTGAAGAAAAATCCAAGTGACTGTTCTTAGCAGCTGTGTGGCCTGGAGTTCACTGGGGAAGCTGGCTTCCTGCAGTCCCCTATTCATCACCTGCTTCAAAGGCAGCCTGGCTGGCTATAGTTTGCAGGCCAGGTAGGGTGCCATTGTGCACAGTCTGGGAGGATTAGTATCAAAGCTGCGGCAACCAGGCCCTTGGTCTCCGGCTGCCATTCAGTCTTGCAGGGAGAGGCTAAGACTGGCCAAGGTCACAGTCTCCAGTGTGGAGTGGACTGGGAAAGGATCCTGAGAATAGAATGCTTTTTATGAAATCATGGCGCAAGCTTGCAGCACAGCAGGTGTCCTTCTGGAACACATGACATCTGTTTATGTTGGTATACCGTAGCTGACAACGAGATAATAGAGCTTTGAAATTTATCATTTTATTTTTAAAAAGACAACTGTATATACAATAATCCAGATGCATATTTAGCTCTATTCTTTTATTTGAAAATCATAAAGAAAACTGACCGGTTTAATTACTGCTTGTACGTGTATATATTTAAGCAAAAAGCAGAGCGTACTATTAACCATTTATAACCATTGCCGATCAGTAATACCCAAATTTGTGGGGAGGAAATATCTAGCATTCAACGTAATGTTTTTTCAATGCTCAGGCATTTGTGTCAACAGATTGCAGAAGGATTTACTGAATATGCCCAACTGTCTTGAATATTAGGAAATTTGGATTACCCCCCCCCCCCCAAATGAGAGTATTCAAGGGTGAGGTAATAATGACGCAAAAATAAAATTTTCAACTTGGACAAATTAGAGAAAAATTAAGCTGTCCATGAGTTGTCATGACGACAAGGATGTTCTGTTGATGAACTGTCCTCCTCATTGTCCAATCAGATAGTAGAGCTGAAGCTGGAGCATGAACAGGAGAAGACGCACCTATTACAGCAGCATAACGCAGAGAAGGATAGCCTAGTCCGAGACCATGAACGGGAAATTGAAAACCTGGAAAAACAGCTTCGCGCTGCCAATATGGAGCACGAAAATCAAATCCAAGAGTTCCAGAAACGAGATTCACAGGTAATTATCAATAATATTTGATAAAACGGGTATCTTTTTAAAAAGTCATCAGCGTTTAATGTTTTCTTATTATTCTTGTTGATGCACGCTGTTTGATCATTTGCAAAACTGACATATAAGTGTGATTTTTTTGTTTTCTTCCCTCCACTCCCCCCTGCCCCCCCGTTTTAGGGATGAATAAGGCTTTAACTACAGAAACCACAGGTAGCCAGATTAAAAATCCCATGGTGCGCTATAACTTGGCCCCTTTTTTATCATCTTGTCTCAGTTCCTTTCATGATGGATTTTTTAAAGGTATCTGCCCCTTACCCCTCCCCTCAGCCTTAGCAAATCCCTATGAAATATATCAGCCTCACTCCTTGCTTTTTGTTTTAATCTCTGTAGGTAATCAAGCAGCTGTTTTAATATTTGCTTTTGCTTCCCAGTGTTGCTTTTTTTCATTAGACTCTATATTTGATTAGATCACTCAGATGGTAATAGATGAAAATGACTCCAGCGAAGGGCTCTTTCCCATCAGGTCTGTTGCTTTCTCCGTCGTGCACCACACATGCCTCCATCTCTGTGGTCCCTGTTGGAAGCCATTCGACAGAGTCGCCCCCAGCTGTGGTAGCGTTTGGCTCTTCAAACTTATGGATGAAATGTGCACTGTCAGCATGGAAAATTATCTTTATAAATTTCAGATGAAAAAAAATCTTATGGAGCATGTATCTTTGTAGTACAACACATTCTTTAGGGTACACAGGGTGGGGCAAAAGTAGGTTTACAGTTTGTATGAAAAATAATACAGTAATTAGTAAATAATACAAGAATAAACTGTGTTTCCCGTACCCACAACTGTAAACCTACTTTTGCTCCACCCTGTAGAGAATCAAAGGCCTTTGGTGCCTTTAGTGTATCTTCTTGTGGAGATTGCTGTGAAATTTTATTAAAGAAAAACTGAAGAGCAATTGTTAACAATGAAAATATCATTTGATTTTTTAAGAAAACTATATAACATACTAGGTTTAAATAGCTCTTTTCCCATTGAAATCTAACCATATTATCCATACCACACATAAGCTTCTTCCTAGTTATTTTCCCTCCCCAAATAATATAATTTTTAAACAATGAAATAAATCCTCTATTTGTTTTAACATGTGTTTAAACAATTTTTTAATTATCTAAACGTGAAAATACTATCGATTAAATAGATGGTAATTTCTTGAGTGGAAGATGAGAGGCGGTAAAGCAAACAATGGGAGTTATTGGTTATTTTTCATTTGACCTTGAGTCTTTTACTTTTGGATAATGACTGGGAAACACAGATATACTCAGCCCAGGCTTTTTTTGTTAATAATATGCATTTACAGGAAAACTATTTTTAATCTGTTTTATGGGGTTTGCTGACTAAGAATGTAGTCATTATAGTAGCCCGAGTACCAGAATAGTCAGGTGGCTCCTAGGAAATCAACATGCATTATGTGTTTGCCACCAGCCTCATTAGAGCTTTTATGCTGATTTTTTGGTTGTTAACCATATAATTTATTAAGACTATTTTCAAAATTAATTTCTCCTTCAAAGTGATGCTAAGTCTACCATTGTCTTCTGGGATATGATGTTTGAGTGGTGAGTCAGTGTGGTGTCTGTTTGCCTAGTAGGACTGAATAACTGATACAATAAACCCATTAATCTATGTGACGTTCTACTATGTTCGTGCTGTTGTGGAAAGCCCACACAAGTGGCGGCCAAGTTTAGAGGAAATCTTTGTGATTTTGGCATTTGTCGTATCTGCCATAAAAAGGGTGCGGTTCATCCAGTGATAACAAAAGGGAAATTTTAGAATTGTTATGTATAATTGAGCCACAGGGACAGTATAATAAAGTTATTAATTAGATTTTCTCTAATTGAATTATTAAGTATGAGGACTGTATGATTTTTTCAAATGCTCTAGCATAGGATTATATTTCTCATATTTTGAGTCTTTCTTGAAACAATTGACATTGTCTTGGGAATGCTAACCAGCAGTGGAAATGGGCTGAATGCTTTCTTGATTAAAATGAAAAGGATTGCTGTATTAGCTATATACTTCGTTAATGTTAGAGAGTATCTTTTTTTAAAAACTTTATCAATAACATATTTTTTAAATCTTATGTATATCAAAATGGTAATATTTTGTATTTATTTTTGGTTTTTCATTGAGGATATTGTTGCAAAGTTTCCTTCAGGTGAGTCCTAAATTTCCCAAATACATCTCTTTGTGATTGTGCTCTAAATAATCTGATGTATACTACCGTTTAAGTCCCGAATTTCATTCCCAGATGTCAACAAAAACACAAAGTGGGTATATGCTTTTTAAAATGAATCTCTTTTCAAATCACTTTTTTGTGAACAAACACAAGTGTCTTATATATTGGATTGTATCATTTTTATTTTGGTTCCAGAGAGATTTGATTTTCAGTATGTTTGGCTGCTTCTGTTAACAGTGGAGGCCATTTTGTAGAAAGGACTAGTTGAAATACTTAACCGGAGAGGACCAGTGCAATAGCTGTCTTGGACACTAAGGCTTTGTTTGCTGCTTTTCTTCCATCAGATTCTTGACTGATTCCAACAGCTACCAGTTTATGGTATACTAAAAACTGTACTCTATATGCAATATACTTTTGGCCTTTCTAAATGTGTAATATATTGCATATTGATAATAAAATCATTATTATAAAGTATAGTTACCTACCAAAAGATGAATCATATATCAACTAGGAAGTTCTTTTTGGTGAGTATGCTATATAATTATTATAGGTTAGTTGTTACTCAAGTACTTTCTGTTTTATAAAGAAGTGATAAGATATAATAACACAACTAAGGGCAGTTAACCATTCCTCTCACTTCATTTGGTGCACTTAGCTAATTAGTCCATGCTTATATTTCTGTCATATACCTTGATTTTCAATGATAAGATATTTTATGCTGTGATTTGCTGAAATGCACATTAAATTAACCACCCTCATACAAGATGTTTAGTCTGGTATCTTCTTAAGGTCATTGTTTAAGAAAAAGCATCTAGATCAGTAGATATCGAGACATAGAAATTCACAACCTCATTGTCAGATATTTCTTATTTGCCAGATCCTTCTTATTACAATTATTTTGAAGAAATATTTGATTATTCCAATCATGTATTTTAATACAAAGAGAATTTACATTTTCACTATGATTATTCTAGGAAAGCTTCCTATAACATGATCATTCTAATTGTAATTCCTGTTTTGCTATTGAACTGCAGTGTAGTAAAATAATTTCTACACTTTACCCTTTTGAATTCAAAGACAAACAGAACATCCCTTAGTTGTTCCTTTAGGACACTGAGCCAGTAGAGATCGCCTGATCTGTTGTGTCTGCTGAAAAAAGTGAGTGGTGTGTCTGAGACTGTTACAGAGAACCTTCGTGATCTGCCCCAGAGGAGGTGCCACCATTCTAGGACAGCCGTTTGTGTGACCTATCGAGGTCCAGTCAAATGGAGGCATCAGGGTGACCACAGCAGCCACTGTGAACCACGGTTTTGAGTGATATCTGAAAATATATTAAACTTGGAATTTGTATCAAGGAAAAGGGGTCTTGCCTAACATTGGCATCTCGATGCCTTCGTTGATTCCGTAAACTGAGAACTGTGATTCTAATATGAACAATTTTTGAATAATAAGTGGACAGATTATCTTGATTTTGCCATATCAATTTGCAGTAAAAGGCTACACCTATCACTGATTCCAAAATATGGGGTTTTCAGAAACCCTCTTCTTCCTCTCTTCTAGTTACCAAAAGGTTTTCCAAAAAAGATGTATGTGTTGAAACATTTTAATTTTTAAAATTATATCTCAGTAACATTACTTTATTTTCCATGCATTTGGAAATCTGGGCACAAGATTAAAATCTCCATCAATAAATTGAGTGTGGGTGTGTGCAGTGGATTAAGCACTAGCTGTCATTCCTCAAAGATTGCCTAAGGACGAAGTTAAGAGGTGATTTTGAACATGGTTGTTAAACCTATACATGGTCTTTGGGCTTTTTAGGGGGGAAGCATGTTTCTATTGAAAACACTTGATTTTAGTTCTGGCTGGTTTTGCTCAGCGGTTAGAGCGTCTGCCTGTGGTCCAGAGAAACCTGGGTTTGGTTCCTGCTAAGGGCATGTACCTCGGTTGCAGTTTGTCCCCGGCCCTGGTTGGTCGTGCGGGTGGCAGCCACTCAATGTGTACCTTTCACGTCGATGTTTCTCTTTCTCTCTCTCCTTCCCATTCTATCTGAACAAAAAATGGAAAAATGTCCTTGAGTGAGGATAAAAAAAAAAAAAGAAAGAAAGAAAACACTTGATTTTAATTTATTTATATGCCAAGTACTTTCAAAAATGATTTGAGAGGCAGCATTTTATAATACATACGTGCTTAACAGGTAGAATATAACTGAATATAATAATTAAACAATAAATGACATCAACCACATCAGAAAATCCATACTTTAAAACATGCTTCAGTCACTACAAGCTTTAGCTCTGAGCTTTCCCACAAGCCCTAGCAAAAAGGGAAACACAAGGGGCTGTGTGATTGTAATTAGTGAAAAAAAGCATACCAGTTCATGGCTGTTGTTTTCTAGCTCTCAATTTTGAGAGGAATTTTTGATGTGGGACTTAATATAAAGGACATTAACCAATATAACTGATTATGTTCTCTATATGTTAAAACATTTGGAAATAAAATCTGGTGGGAAAACCTTAAGTTCTTTAATTGCTTTCACGAAATATACAATTATTTGCAACACAAAAAACCACAGTTGCTTTGAGAGATTCAATTTTGTAGATACTTAAGTCAAAAGAAGGCATAGTTTAAGTCACAAGCCCAGAAAATTCTAGAACTGTCACTCTATGACTGTTGCAGAAACCCTTACGAAATGTTTGAGGAAGTCGAGGTTAGGAACATGGCTGAGATTGGAAGTAGTTTTAAAGTCAATGCCCTGGTGTTAATTTCCAAGTGTGT